TGTTGGGCTTCCCTTTCCCCGCCACTTGCTATTTCTTCACGTAAATACTTAACCCTCTTTATACTTTTTTTAAATTCTCAGGCGCAGTGGCCTGCGAGGGTTGCAAGGGCTTCTTCAAGCGGTCTATACGGAAAAACATCAAGTACGTGTGTCGCGAAGGTGAAAACTGTCAAATGAGCATACGCCAACGCAATCGTTGTCAGCACTGCCGATTTCGCAGATGCTTGCTCGAAGGCATGCGGGCAGAAGGTAGGTGTCCGTTTTTGCTGCCTCGTACTCATTGCCCACTCAGAGATCGCAGTTTTTTTTATCTGTTTTCTCAAACCCTGACGTGACTTTATTGTTTTGCGTGCCACGACGACCCAACCATTACCCTCTAACTCATTACACCACTCTAACCCTTTCAGCTGTTCAAGAACAGAAGAAAAAGTCCGTTACGGGCTGTTCTGCGGATACCAACAACAACAGCAGCAGCGGCAGCTGGTTAAATGACGAGGAAGCAACCGATGGAGGCTCTTCTCAAATGCGCGCTAGTGGACAGTGGACCGATGGTCCCCGAACTACACCGGTTTCTGCTGGCTTTCTCACCTTCAATCCCAATTCGACAGTAACCGCGTCGGTCTCGAACGCCGACACCGTCCATCTGGCCGACAACCTCAGCCAGATTCATTTGGCTGAGGTCTTTGTTCTGGAGTCTGATCCCCTCCTGCAGTCAGTTGCCTGCGAGGACGCCCCGTACCTCCTCACGGATGAGGTTTGTACTTTGTTGTGTTTACTTTAGTTATTCTACCCACAACGAGGTCCTGTCCTTCATGCATGTGCGCAGCATACTTGGTGTCGGGGTTAACAACGTTTGTGTTTGCGTATACGTTTATATTGCGTCCTATATACCACTAATCCGTCTGGAATGAGAGGGAGGCGATGTCACACCGAACTCCGTGCACCCTTCCCTAACTAGTACTGCTGTTTCTCACGTCGGCAAAACGTCTGGCGTGTGTCTAATCTATATCTTCAGCGATTTAGTCCTAACTTTGTACTGCTTTTTTCTTCCTCAAGTTATAATATACTCAATGGGGTCGCGCTAACTGGCACATTCTCGCACTAACCCATTTGTAGTCCTTGCTAAGTTCCATATTGCTCTTTTAGATTTCTCCTACCAGTCTAGCAAAACTGCCTGAATATTTGGCCTATTGATAGTAGCGCTGAACGTCGACTTCTCACGTGTCTGTTCTTCATAATTTTTCATGGCCTTCTTTGTGTTTGCTAGAACACCTACCTTGAATCGCCTCTGCGGCCCGAGGATGTGCACGAGACGGTGATCAATCTCATTCTATGGTCCAGAAAGATACCATGGTTCTCCAAGTTTCCAGAAGCTGATCAACTTCGTCTTCTCAAAGCTAGTAAGAATCCTTTGCCCTCTCTCGTTTCTGGGTGCCTTGTCGCATTTATCCATTTCCTTCTTGTTCATTCCCTTTTGTTCATTATGTGCATCATTGGAAGTGAGCCATGTTAATGACCTTATAGTTGACAGTATTCACCATGTTACAGAAGGCTATTATTATGTGCAATTAAACACTGTGGGTCTTATTTCTGGCCTACGTAGATTAAGTGGTTCGAGATCTGCAAAATGAGAAGGAAACTACATTTCACCTTCCTGTCACTGCAGTCGGGTATCTGCTGTATGTCATCTTCTCAGAAGGGATTCAGATCTTAGGATAAAACGTTAAGCTTTAGGAAGTCGAGCGTGGTTTTCTTGTTTTTGCTTCCTCGCTTTTATTTTTTGCCTGCTGCTTACGCTGCACCCGGTGAGTTCTGGAGGTGCACTTAACGTGGAGGATAGACAACCTAATTGTAGCTTCCTGTGTCAAAAAGCGCTACAAATTTGAATCCCTTTTGGCAACACCTGAACGCGTTCCAGAGCTGTTCTTTTTTGGTTTTGTGCAGGGTGCTAACCTGCACCGCGTCAACTCGTTCCTTACTTTATGTAATTTCGAGTTTATTTTTGATACCGAAAAGGTACTTGAAGATGCCTTCACTCGAATTGGATGCAGCTTATCAAGAGATTCATTTCCTTTCCGCTGGGTGCTTCCGGTTGTTTCACTGCTTACTATGCTATTACTATGTGATTTTTGGGTCTCACGATA